CAATTTGGTATGCGCCAACAATTGTTGAAACAATTGTTGAATATTAAGCATTTTTAGGTGGGTTGCTGGAAGAAGGATCTTTCGGTGCAAGTGGGAATTTTTTATTGAAATAGAAATAGAGTTAATTATAAGATTAGTCCCTAAGTTTCAACTATACATACCCTAGCTCATTTAGCTTCAAAATCATCCCAAATTATTTCTTCCTCCCAATACTAAAGAGTTTAGAGAGTTCTCTTGTGAGTAGTGAGTGTTTTGTAAACACATGTAAATTTTCTCTCTTAGTAAAAGATCTGCAGTAGTCCGGAGATGTAGGCATAATTGGTTGAACTCTATTATCAATTTCGGGTATTATTTTTCTGCTTTTATTTCGCATTCTCACTAATCTGGTTATAGGGAAATTACTCGTACTCAGTTTATTTTCTAACAACTGGTAATCAGAGCTTTTGGTTGTGAATTTTGTCAATTTTTTGTGAGGTTACTATTCATTACTATCCATTACTATTCACGTGAATAGTAAATTTCGTAAATAGTAAAAAAAATTATCGGCGATACGAATTTGTCGACGGAGGTGTTCTAATACACGGTGGTTCGCAAGAATTGTCAGAAACGATCCAAACGAAGCCAGATTCGAGTGGGAGCGATGGCTACAGACCAAGGGAATGTGAAAATTGAAAAGTTCGATGGTGCGGACTTTGGCTTTTGGAAGATGCAGATTGAAGATTTTTTGTGTTAGAAAAATCTATATCAACCTATCTCAGGAAAGCAACTAGAGGGCATGAAGAATGAAGACTGAGCTCTTCTCGACAGACAAGCCCTCGGAGTTATCCGACTAACGTAGTCCTAAAATGTTGCTTTCAACATAGCAAAGGAAAAGACCACGGCGGGTCTTATGGCGGCTCTCTCCAGTATGTATGAGAAGTCATCAGCCTCAAAAAAAATTCATTTGATGAGGCGATTATTCAATTTGTGGATGACGGAAGGGGCATCAGTGGCTCAACACCTAGATGAACTCAACACAATTACAACCCAATTGAGTTCCGTGGAAATTGAATTCGATGATGAAGTTCGAGCTTTAATTCTCTTATCATCTCTACCAGACAGTTGGAATGATATTGTTACAGTAGTTAGAAGCTCTTCAGGAAATAGTAAATTGAAATTCGACGATGTTCGGGATCTGGTACTGAGAGAAGAAATTCGACGGAGAGAATCGGGTGAAGTATCAACCTCCTCATCCTTGCACACGAAGTCCAGATGGAGAACTTCATAAAGAAATTCAAATCGTGGCAGATCCAAATCCAGAACGGGAAAATCAAGAACGGGAAAGAAAGATTTTACCTGTTATAATTGCGGCAAGAAGGGTCACTTTAAAAGAGATTGCCGAGCACCGAAGAAAAATATCGGCGCACAGGAATCTACCAACGTGATAGAGGAGACAGGTGATGCCATGATTCTAAGCGTCAACAGTTCGATTGAATCATGGATCTTGGATTCAGGGGCATCTTTCCACTCCACCCTATGCCGAGAAATCATGGAGAACTATGTCAGTGGTGATTTTTAGGAAGGTTAATCTAGCTGATGATGAAACCTTGAAAATCATTGGAAAAGAAGACATCCGATTAAAGCTGCCAAACCAGACCACCTAGACGTTGAAAGGAGTGAGACATATTCCTGGCTTCAAAAGAAATTTGATTTCTATAGGACAGCTTGATGGAGAAGGTTATAGTATAACCTTTTCAGGCTGTGAATGGAAGATTACCAAAGGAGCACTCGTCATTGCTCATGGTAAGAAGACTAGTACTCTCTATGTAACCTCAAATTTAGAGAATATCATTGCAGTAGCAGATGCTGATGGAAAATCAAACCTATGGCACCAAAGGCTTGGTCATATGAGCGAGAAAGGGATGAAGACACTTTTGTCAAAAGGGAAGATGTCGGATCTAAAGAATTTAGATGTCGAACTATGTGAAGATTGCATCTTTGGCAAACAAAAGAAAGTCAGTTTTGCAAAGATTGGCAAGACACCCAAGGCAAAAAAGTTAGAGTTGGTTTATACTGATGTATGTGGACCATCTCCAGTTCCATCTCTTGCAGGCTCATTATATTATGTCACCATCATCGATGATTCAACAAGGAAGGTGTGGGTCTATTTTCTGCAGAAGTCTTTAATACCTCTAAAAAATGGAAGGCCCTGGTGGAAAATGACACTAGTTTGAAAATCAAGCGGTTGAGGTCTCATAATGGAGGAGAGTACAGAAACAGTAGATTCAGATATTTATGCGCAAACAATGAGATCAAGATGGAGACAACGGTTCCTATGACACCGCAACAGAATGGCGTAGCAGAGCGCCATGAACAAAACTCTAAATGAACGTGCCAGAAACATAAAGATACATGCCGGATTGCCCAAATTTTTATAGGCTGAAGCTATCAACACTACAACTTACCTGATCAACCGTGGCCCTCAGTTCCTTTGGATGGCAGAATACCAGAGGAAGTTTGGAGCAAGAAAGAAATAAACCTTTCACACTTAAGAGTTGTTGGTTGTATTTCTTATGTACACATAGACTCTGCTGAAAGAAGTAAACTTGATGCTAAGGCCAACAAATGTGCCTTTGTTGGTTATGGCGGTGATGAGTTCGGTTACCGGTTTTGGGACTATGAAAATCGGAAGATCATCAGAAGCAGAGATTTCATTTTCAATGAGAATGTGATGTACAAAGATATGGAAACCATATAATCAAGTAGCTCCAATACCAAAGTTGAAACAAAAGAATTTGCTAAGTTTGAGGAGATTTCTGGAAATGATGTTCAGATCAATCCTGAAGCAGTTCAAGAAGAACCACGCACACCAGAACTGAGATGCTCCTCCAGAATTCCTAAATCAACCCAGCGTTATTCGCCTTCTTTGCACTACTTGTTGCTGACTAACAATGGTGAACTAGAGTGCTATGATGAAGCAATGCAGGTGGAGGATTCAGTCAAGTGGGAGTCTTCCATGAAAGATGAGATGGACTCGCTTATGTCAAATCAGACATGGGAATTAGCTAAATTACCACCAGGCAAGAAAGCGCTCCACAACAAGTGGATTTACATGATCAAAGAAGAGCACGATGGGAGCAAACGCTACAAAGCGAGATTGGTTGTCAAAAGTTTTCAGCAAAAAGAAGGTATTGGCTACAATGAAATTTTCTCTCCAGTCGTGAAACTGTTTACAATCAGACTGGTGTTGAAAATTGTAGCTGCAGAAAATTTACATCTTGAGCAGTTAGATATAAAGAAAACTTTCCTTCATGGTGATTTGGAGGAAGAAATCTATATGAGGCAGCTAGAAGGCTTCATAGAGGCAGGCAAGAAAAATCTGGTATGCAGGTTAAAGAAGAGCTTGTATGGTTTAAAACAAGCACCGAGACAGTGGTACAAGAAGTTCGATAGTTTCATGGGTAGCAATGGTTTTACCATATGCCAAACAGATCATTGTTTCTATATCAAGAAGTTCGACAACATCTTCATTATTTTATTGTTGTATGTTGATGACATGCTTGTTGCAGGTTCAGACATGATTATAAACTTGAAGAAAAAATTGTTGAAGCAGTTTACTATGAAGGATCTGGGTGCTGCAAAGCAGATTCTTGGGATGAGGATCAAGAGAGACACAAAGTCGGGGACTTTGATGTTATCATAGGCTAAGTACATCAACAAAGTACTCTCCAGATTCAATATGCAATATGCTAAACCAGTAAGTACACCTTGAGGTGTTCATTTTAGAATCTCCAAAGAACAGTCACCAAAGATGGAGAAAGAACGTGCACCATGGTGAAGGTGTCATATGCCTCAGCAATTGGAAGTCTGATGTATGTCATGGTTTGTACTAGACCAGATATTGCTCATGCAGTGGAAGTTGTTAGCAGGTATATGAATAATCCGAGCAAGGTACACTGGGAAGCAGTCAAATGGATCCTCATATATCTGTGGGATACCATAAACAAAGCACTTTTTTTCAAAGGTGGAGATATGATACTGACAGGCTATGTAGATGCTGACTTAGCCGTAAATGTTGACATCAGAAGGAGCACTACAGGGTATGTCTATACTCTAGGAGGTACTGCAGTGAGTTAGGTTTTCTCAACTACATAAGATAGTTTATCTCTCCGCAACTGAAGCAGAATATGTTGCTGTTACGGAAGCCAACAAGGAGATGGTTTGGCTCCAAAGTTTCTTGGAAGAGTTAGGCAAGAAACAAGAAAACAATGTATTGTATTGCAACAGTCAAAGTGTTATACATCTAGCAAAGAATCCGTCTTTTCATTCCAGAACGAAGCACATACAATTGAGATATCATTTTATCTGGTCTCTTTTGGAAGATGGGATTTTGAAATTTGAAAAGATTAGTGGAGCTCAAAATCCGACAGACATGTTAACAAAGACGGTGACTACGGACAAGCTGAAGTTGTGTTCACCTTCAGTTGGCATGCTAGAGTAATAAGACCAGAAATACTACTGCATTGATCAAGATGTGAAGACAGATTAAAATCAGTCTTCAAGTGAAAGATTGTTAAAGTCAATTTGGTATGCGCCAACAATTGTTGAATATTAAGCATTTTTCGGTGGGTTGCTGGAAGAAGGATCTTTCGGTGCAAGTGGGAATTTTTTATTGAAATAGAAATAGGGTTAATTATAAGATTAGTCCCTAAGTTTCAACTATAAATACCCTAGCTCATTTAGCTTCAAAATCATCCCAAATCATTTCTTCCTCCCAATACTAAAGAGTTTAGAGAGTTCTCTTGTGAGTAGTGAGTGTTTTGTAAACACCTGTAAATTTTCTCTCTTAGTAAAAGATCTGCAACAGTCCGGAGACGTAGACATAATTGGCTGAACTCCGTTATTAATTTCGGATATTATATTTTTCCGCTTTTATTTCCCATTCTCACTAATCTGGTTATAGAGAAATTACTCGTACTCGGTCTGGTTATAGGAAAATTACTCGTACTCGGTTTATTTCCTAACAGTTCAGATAAGTATAAGACTTCAAACAAGGAGTACAAGATTGCAAGAACTACTACTGGCACACACGGACAAGTTTCTCTTTATTCCTTACATGCAAACAAGTCCAAGGTAGGAGAACTGGATAGTTGAACCTTAAACCCCAATACTGTAGAAAGGGAACTGCTTGACTAGGCTAAAGTTATTAACGATGTTTACTTATACGAAAACCACGAACTTTTTGAGCAACCCAAGTCTATCCACAATGATGCTGCACTTTCCTTGAAACGACATATGACATTTGCTATCTGCCATGTTCTCAGCTTGTCGAAGGTTCCATTTCTTTGATGTTTTTTTCGTTGTGATCATTTGGTAACTGATTCCTACATAATACAACGGCAAAACTTATTCAGCAATCAGCATTCATACATCTGAGTTGATAATTTAAATTCCTTCATTTACTTTTAAACTGGATTTCATTAGATAAGGGCTGTAAAAAATTTTAGATGGTTTAGAATTTCATGGAACCATTTGCAAAAGACAAAATACTATACCTTTGTGTTTCCGAGTTTGTAACTTCTGCCGCTGCCGAACTTGAGCCCACCTCTAGTGAAGGCATCTATGAATCAAACATGGAAGGAATTACTGCATGTGACAATAATTGAATATTTACAATAAGTAGAAAATATTCCTTCCCATTTCTTCCCCCCGTTTTCTTTGCGTTACCTCGACATTATTAGGATTTGAAGGTGAAATCTCTTTCTCAAGCAGCTTTTCATGCTAAAGGGAAAAAAAGATCGCTGAGATTGAACTTCATTAGATGAGGAGAAGATTCATTGGTGAAAATATACTCACTTTCAACTTCTCAATTCGTCGAATTGCGTCCATAACAATTTGCTGTCGATGAGTAGCTTCATAAATTGAGCGCTTCTGAATCGTTTCTGGATTATAAGACCTGTACTTTCCAATAACAATATGAAGCAGAAAACATATCAAACGAGCAAAGTTTTCACAAGCAGTAGTCAAGATTCCCAGCCTTAACTCATAAAAAAAACTGATGATAACTATGCAGAAAATAATGACCTCATCTTTTCCTCAGCTTCATATTTCTTCCTGTTGAGGTCAGCGAGTTTTCTCTCAAGTTCCTATGAAACCAAAAAAGACAAGTGCAAAGTTATGGGAACTATCATTGTTAGGAGCAAAAGAACAGCAAGTTATTCAGAGTTTGTTTACCTCTATGCTGAACATGCATTGGGTTAACAGCCGATGGATCATACAATAAAATGGAAAGAATGATGGTGAGATAGAAATAAAGTAAATCATAAAATAAGTATGTGCATGTTTGGAGTGAATGAAAGACAACATGTTACCGTCCTATTTTAGCCAGTATTTCAGCTTCATACTTCAAATGCTTCAAGCTTTTGCGCAAGAACTGTAAGCACAGGCAACATACAGCATAGTAGGGAGACAAAAACAGTCTTAGAAAATGGGGAAAATGAGAGAACGAAGAGCGATAGGCTACCTCATGGTTTTTGAGTGGTCTGACATAATTCGGGGATAACCAGGGGCAGAACACAAACAAGGACAGATACAAATGTATTAGTAAACCCTTAGCTTCACTATTTGTGAAATCTTTTATGGGAAAAAATAGCAATGGTCATCAAAACATACTGTCCACGTTCATCACACCAGTCCAAGAAACGAAGAAAGATATCCTCAATCCTATAGAGGGCATGAGAAATATTTTATCACAAGATGCATTTAGAACTCGAAAACACAAGAATATGGAAAGAACATAATCATCGATTAGAGACTCTTCATCACCTTCCCTTGCTGGCAAAACTAGTAAATTGACCTGTAGGAGAAAACATCATAAGTCCAACATCAGTATCACTAAACATAGATAAGTCAGCGGCCCTCCTGAGAATGCTATCCCTGCGTTTTATATAAGTCATATGACGAGACCAAGAATTGTCAATCTTCTTCTTGTGACCCATGATCAAAGGAAATCAGATGAGAAAATGAAGAAAGAAGAAAAACTGGTGTAGACTACTAAGAGAAATGGAGTTCATATAAGAAGGGAAGAATATGGATTAAACTTTTGGGGATATGCAAGAGGGTAAAATAGGCATGGTCATATGACAACTGTAGAAAAAGTCCCTTGATCATAATCACCAAGGGATTTTCTTTGGTCTGATAAAGCTAGATAGAGTAAATTGTACATATTCTTTAACTACGCCGAATATAAATTTTAAATGATGCAAACCTAAAATTAGAGACTGATTAAAGCAAACATAAAATAATACCCTTAGAATGGTTCAAGGCATTGATGGGAGTAGTCCAAGAAGGTACTGCAACCATGTTTGCCAACCAAAACGACAGATTGACATGTTCCGCGTGGCATTTCCATGACGAACTCGTACAAATTGTAAAACAAGATCCGTCCTTCGCAAAATAAGTACCATTTGGCCAACCGACGGAATCCACGTTCGGTATCAAAGATTAAAGTCAAGAGATAACTTTGGAAGGCCATAAAGTCATTTCCTCATAGGAATTTTAGAGATTTACATGCAGATAATATACAAACGAGATCGAATAAGATTCGGAATATAAGAGCTGATTGTCAAAGCATTAATATAACTAAGAGTAGTAGTTGGGATGTTTTATAATTCCTTAATTATACTTCAGTTACTCATCTGAGTAAACCATATAATTCAAAGAACCAGTATTTCATTAATAAATAGTATGCAATTAGAAAGGGAGAACAAGCAAACTGGAGCAGACCCAGTTTTCCAATGATTAAGATATTGGAATATCTGACTCTACTATGACCATCTCCATTAAACACAATCATCAATCTTTTCCATTGAATTGGACAGTTCTTAAACCTCACAAGAGCTCATTGCACATATAAAATACCACAAATCACGAAAACTAAACGGAAATTGTTGAAGCAAGCAAACAAGAAACGTAAATTAGAATAAAAACAGTAACAGAAGATAAACATAAGGAATCAGGAATGGGGTGTTTTCAAATTTCAATAATGACCCAACAACCTAATTCAGATAATCAAACAAACGTTTTACTTGTCATTTTGTAAAGAGGGGAAGCATGCAATCTCACCATAACATGAAAAGGGGAAGCGTTACATAAAACTCGCCACACCAAGAACCGATCGGAAAAAGAACTCAAGAAAACTCCAAACGCTTGAACAAACTGCTTTAAAGTTTCTTCCTTTTTCAGATTCCTTGAATCAAGTTTAGCGCGACTTCAATGAATTGGTGTTTATCCAGAACTTACATTTTCCTTAATATCTATAAATGAAATGCTAAGGTCAACGGGGATGTAGCTCAGATGGTAGAGCGCTCGCTTAGCATGCGAGAGGTACGGGGATCGATGCCCCGCATCTCCATAATTTTTGTTTTCTGCTTGAAGTTTAAAAAAAGGGTAAACTACGTTTTCTTACTTATTATATCAATAACTTTCAATTGATCATTCAAGTTTTTAATTTCTTCTGTTTTCGTCAGTCACACGTGTTAAATAAAAACTAATAGAATGGCATGGACGATTTTATGCTGACATAAAATAGAAACCATGTGTTGTCCCACTTCATTCTTTTCTTTTTTAATTTCATCTTCTCCTACAAAGATAAAACTTTAATTTGTTTTCTCTTCAACATATAAAAGGTAAATTATGTTTTTCATCACTTAATTTTACAAAATTTCAATTTAATTCTTTAACTTTTCAATTACTTTTATTTTGGTCACTCACATGTTTAAATAAAAAATTATAGTATGACGTGGACTATTTTATGTTGACATAGAATTGAAATCGTAGTGTCCGTTTCATTTTTCTCATATAAAGATGAAATTTTAGGAGTTTCTTTCTTATGTCGCATCAGCATCATCGTTCTTTAATATCTTCCCCGACTACTTAAGAAATTGATAAGTTTGACTCATCTTTTCATACTACTCTATTAGTTTGTTTATTAAAAAAAACAAATTGTAAAACTCATAAAATTAAAACCAAAACTCATAGGAAAACAATTTTGATCTACAATCTTCATCGTTCAATGAATGTTAAATCAAAATATATAACTCTTTTCCTCCTCCACCTCCACACCATTTAGATAGTTTAAGGGAGCAAATGTTGATATAGTTTCTTAACTAGTTTTCTTTGATAATGATAAATTGGATAAACTATACGAACAGTCCCTTTTGTTTATCGGTCCGTGCAGTTTAAGTCGTTGAGCCATTAACTTCTATTAATACATTAACAAAAAATTTATATGACAATTAAAAATACAATAAAAAAATACGAGTGTCTTCTTCTTCATACCCACCGTACCCTCCACGTCCGCTGAAACTTCATCGTCCACCGTATCCTCCATGTCCACCATAACTGTACCGATTCTTGTCATCTCCAAGCTCAGCGTTGGTCGTTTCATTAGCCAGCTCACCTGCATAACCAATATCCATATACGAAATTTATGTTAGAAACAAATAGAATATAAATGTTCCACTCGCTTATATATTTCAACTGCATGCAATACGATTGAGAGGTTAGATAAATAAGAAGCTATGGTAGTTACTGACCGTTGTCCATTTCAGTGGTAATTTGAGCAGCATATGGGACAGAATTAGAAGGCTTTTCACTTCTTGGGCTACTCTCTTCCTCTTGAACCGAACCATTTTTTTCCTTCTCCATCAGCCTGGGATCATATTCATTAAGTGCACTACTTTTGTTGTTAACTTCCATTTTCTTTTGTTTGCTCTGAAACTTTGTCAGCCTCTTTTTCCTTGGGATGACATTTTTGAATTGCCTGGGATCAGATTCATTGTTTTGTTTCTCTGGCTCATCTACAACCTTTCGAATCGGGTCTTCGGCCGATGGTTTCACTTTTTTTGGCTTCTCGTCGATCGGGGGTGATCAGTTTCGGGAGCTTAACATGAAACATATTACCCTTATAATTTGCTCTGATCTTATTCTGGTCACAATTTGAGGGGATGGGGACTTCCTCGAAGAAACGACTGAATTTGTCGTCGCCGATAGATCTTTCTCTGGATATCCCCAAGTTCCCCCTACTTGTTACTTGGACTTTAAGTTGATCCTTCCTAAATCTCGTTGCATGAGTCACATGCATGGACTAAACCCTAAACCCTAAACAACTGAATCAATTGATTTAAATCTAAAATATCAAAAATCATTAAAACATGATTAAAAAAACGAACCTGGTAAATGTACAATCAAAGTGTCGCCTGCAGTTTCATGACCCATTCAGTGCGGACCTCCAAATCTTCATAAATAGACTTGAGCTTCGAATCCATAGCTTTTGTTTAAAAAATCCATCGAGGTGGATGTTTCGAGCTTCGGTCCGATCAAGAACAGCGAGTCGAGGGTGGAACTTGAACCACTACAGATTTGAGCCCAAGAGTTCATGAAATGCCAAGTCGAGATTCCATCGAGGATTGCATGGTTGAAGACCGTCTTTTGATTACCCCAGAATCAGATCATTTATCTACTTTTTCTACCGTAACTGATTTTTATAATGTTTTTAAAATTAATTTTAGTGTGATAGTGATGACTATTGAAAGATCTGTTGCAAGATCCTTTATGCATTTTAATGATAATATGTATAATGATTGTTTATTTATTTTGTAATCTTGAATTTATTTTTCTGATATTTAAACTTTTGATCTTTGATAATACATTAGTACTTTTTTCTAAATTTATATTTAAAGTTGTTTTTAATTTCCACTTAATAATTTCGTTAAAAGCTTAATGAGATAGCACCTAAATACTTTCATTAAAGGGTTAATGAGATAACAGCTAAGGGACTAATTGATTACATAAGGGACCAAATACACTTAAATTTTGAATCAATGACCAAATTTGGTCAGACAAAAAAATAAAGGGGTTCATATAGTTTACTCTAATAAATTTAATAAATTAATTATTTTTTAATTAGTAATCATAATAATCTTACCTCTGACACTGACTCTAAAAGTCAATATAAAATTTTCCGAATAAGATCAAGAGAATAGATGAGACCTAGATGGAAACAACTCACCCTATTCATCTTTATACCACCAACCGACTGATCTACCATCAACTGTGACTTTCCATCCAAACTAAAATGGATCACTACAAGAAAACATATCTTTAATGACACACGAACGATGAAACACACTAATTTATGACTTGCAAAAAATCTGTACCATAAAAAAATGTCATGTTTCTTAAAATCTGAACGATTTATGACTTACAATAATATGTGTCATATTTAATAGTCATAATCCAAAAAATTTAGCAAACACACAAAGTACACTTTTCACTGTGTGTCATCTCTAAAAGTCGTCTTTTAATTCGGGAACTATATATTTTATCCTAAAATAAATAAAAAATAAACTCGTTCTAGTTTACCCAAATAAATAGTAAATCGAATCCTTCTACTCCGAAATCAGTCCCTCAAACATTCATCAATTTGATCGAATTCAAACATTTCAAAAGAAATATTAAAATTATTTATATTTCTGTTAAGAACAAGTCTCGGTTCCAACCTTGAAATGGGGAAGGATGGAATACCTGATTGGCTCAACAGTTCGTTGTGGTCCACAACTCTCAGCGGCGGCGACGACCGCATTCACCGTCACTCCCCTTCTCCCACCATCTCCTCCAATGCCGTCTCTGAGCCATTTGTTCAGCCTCCGGTTCCCGTGCCTCCTCCCGCTGCGGCCTCGAGTCCTCAGTCCACTGCTACTTCCCCCAAATCTGAATCCAGAGATCGAGTTGATAAAAATAGTGACGATAATAACAATGATAATGACCAAAACGCTAGCTCTTCCGACAGTTCTCCGGATGATATCTCTCACCAGGCTCAGCTTTTAACCGAGGTTTTTAATTGTTTCTCCATTTTTTTATTGTTTTTGTTCTTTCTTTCTTTCTAATTCCCATCTTCTTCGTGTCAGTTGTCAAAGAAGGTAGTAAATTTGCAGGGACTGCGGCAGATTGCGTCGTAGGGAATTCCTGAAGGTGCATGAATCAGGTCTACAGCGTGGAAGGTGGTGACTCTGTCTTTTCTGTTTGGTTGCTAAGAAATTTTGAAATTTGTTGAGATTCCTATATTTTTAGTCTCTGAATCGAATGAATTGTCAATTCCCATGCATTGAAAGTTGCTTTTCTTTTTCTTTTGGATTATGTTGAGGGTAGGGTTATTTGGTTGCTCTGGCAGTTATTATTAGGGTATCTACCACCAGATCGTGTGCAGTGGTCGTATGAATTAGCTAAGAAAAGGTCCGAGTACAAACAATTTAAAGAAGAGCTATTGATGAATCCTGTAAGTGTTTTCTTTTTCTTTTGTGTGTTAAAATAGTGTAATAGATGAATCCCTATAGGTCACAACTGCAATTTAGTTATAAAACCATGTAATTTAATCTTATATTTGATTTCATCAGAGGCAAGTAAAATCAATAATGGTTACTTGAGAAATGTCTAAATGTTGACACAGATTTCTGAAATCTGACAATACGTGCCTGTAGATGGAACTAATGCAACAAAATAATTTTGCCTATTAATGAACACATGCATTGTGAAATTTGAATTCATATACTTGGTCAAATTTTAGAAGTTCATGTCAACATTTAAACGATTTTTCATGAACACTGTTATTAGTAAAACTTGTTTACACCATATAAAGATTAAATTAATAGTCCTATTTATTGAAAAAGACGAAAAACAATTCTTTAGTATGAGTAAAATTGATATTGGCATTGATGGAAAGCCGTCTATATGCTAAGATGGGCTTCTGAAATATGAAAATGCAGACTTGTAGATTAACTTAAGTAGCAAATGGGTTTCTTCTATTATAAAACAGTGGTTGTGTCAATTTTTGACTCATATGCTTTGTTAACTTTTAGAAGTTCATGTCAACATTTAGATGATTTTATACGAACATTGTTATAGATTTTGCTTGTTTATACCATACAAAGATTGAATTACACAATTATATTGTACAAGGGCTAAATTTCACTTTTAACTGTAGTTTGACTATTTTACCAAGACTGTCTAGATACTTTAACCAAATAGTGTATTAATAAATACATTATAATGATTTCATACACTATGGGCAAGTATGATATTATAAGTTCCTTTGTTTACTGGCATGGTAAAATTTTAACAGTATTTTTAAGGTTATCTTGTGTGCAAGGGCTAAATTTCACTTTAACTGTAGTTTGACTAT